ATTTCAATTTCAATCCAATCTCAATCCAATCAAATATTCAATCTCAATCTCAATATAATAATTTTTGAAGGCACCCAGTATGTTTGTTAATAAATAAATATTTATTAATATAATTTTTTTTTTGATTTGTTGTGCGAATTTTCTGCACAAATCCTGCTAATAGATTATTGGCTACCTTTATTAATCAATACCATTTAAATTGACACATGTAAATCTTTTCAAATTATAATAAACACTTATTGTGTATGAATTGTTTTATTTATTTTTACTTCCTATGTTATAATATAAACATTATAGTTTGCATGAATCTTAAGCAACATAAAAATTATAATATAAAAGATAAATGAAGTTGTCAAAGAGCCTACAGCCTATTTACTCTATTTTTCTATTTAAAATAAAATCAACAGTTAATATGTTTACAATACAATTGACTGTAATAATGGTAAGTGATGAGAATACTTGCCTATTTATTATTTAAAATAAATTGAAAATCAATCAGTTAATATTTTTCAGGAATAATGTTGGCTGTAATAATAGTAAAACAATAAATACTTGCCTATTTATTATTTAAAATAAAATGAAAATCAATCAACAGTTAATATGTTTACAAAAACAATGGTAATGGTAGTAAATAATAAAAATACTTACCCTTTATTTATTATTTAAAATAAACAAAAATAAACAGTTAATATTTTTCAAGAATAATATTAGATGTAATAATAATGATGTGAATACTTACATTCTATTTTATTATTTAAGCTAAAGCAAAAATCAACAGTTAATATTTTCAAAAAAACAATTATATTGACTGTAACAATAGTGAAATGATGAAAATACTTACAGCCTATATTTATTACATAAAAAAAACAAAAATCAACAGTTAATATGTTTTCAAAAACAATGATATTAATAGTGAAATGATAAAAATACCCACACTATTTATTATTTAAGATAAAATGAAAATCAACAGTTAATATTTTCAGAAAAACAATGATATTGACTGTAATAATAGTGAAATGATGAGAATACTCACATACTATATTTATTATTTAAGATAAAATGAAAATCAACAGTTAATATCTTTTCAAAAACAATAATATCAACTGTAGCAATAATAATGATGAGAATACTTACAGGCTATAATTATTATTTAAGATAAAACAAAAATCAACAGTTAATAAACAATGATATTGACTGTAGTAATAATAATGATGAGAATACTTACAATCTATTTATTATTTAAAATAAAACAAAAATCAACAGTTAATATGTTTTCAAAAACAATGATATTAGTAGTGAAATGATAAAAACACTCACACACTATTTATCATTTAAGATAAAA